TGTTTATCAATTGTAGAAGTTCTTTGGTAGAGTTTTTGGGGTCGCTTATGTACACTATCATATCGTCTGCAAATAATGAACGTTTAACTTCATCCTTTCCAATTCGAATCCCCTTGATCCCCTTATGTTGTTTTATTGCTATTGCTAGAACTTCGAGCACTATATTGAAGAGGTATGGAGAGAGTGGACAGCCTTGTTGTGTTCCTGATTTTAGTGGAATGGCTTTGAGTTTCTCTCCGTTCAATTTGATGTTAGCTGTCAGCTTACTATATATTGCTTTTATTATATTTAGGTATGATCCTCGTATACCCAATCTCTCCAACACCTTTATCATAAAGGGGTGTTGAATTTTGTCAAATGCTTTTTCAGCATCCAATGAAATGATCATATGGTTTTTTCCTTTCAGATTATTTATATGATGGATTACATTGATAGATTTGCGTATGTTGAACCAACCCTGCATCTCTGGGATGAAGCCCACTTGATCATAATGGATAATTTTTCTAATGTATTCTTGGATTCGGTTTGCCAGTATTTTATCGAGTACTTTAGCGTCAATGTTCATGAGTGAGATTGGCCTGTAATTCTCTTTCTTGGTTGTGTCTTTGTGTGGTTTTGGTTTCTGGGTAACTGTAGCTTCATAAAAAGAGTTTGGCAATGATTCTTCTGTTTCTATCTTGTGAAATACATTAAGGAGTATAGGTATTAGCTCTTCCTGGAAGTTCTGGTAGAATTCTGCATTGAAACCATCTGGTCCTGGGCTTTTTTTGGTGGGGAGGTTTTTGATAACAGCCTCTAATTCTTCACAGCTAACAGGTCTATTTAGATTGTTCACTTGGTCTTGATTTAACTTTGGTAAATGGTATTTATCTAAAAACCAATCCATTTCTTGTACATTTCCCAACTTTGTGGCATATAAACTCTTGTAGTAAGATCTAATGATTCTCTGAATTTCCTCTATGTCTGTTGTTATGTCCTCCTTTTCATTTCTGATCTTATTAATTTGCGTGTTCTCTCTCTGCCGTTTGATTAGTTTGTCTAGGGGTTTGTCAATCTTGTTGATTTACTCCAAGAACCAATTTTTGTTTCGTTGATTTTTTGAATTGTTTTCTGTTTCTATTTTGTTGATTTCAGCCCTCAGTTTGATTATTTCCAATCTTCTACTCCTCCTGGGAGAGTCTGCTTCTTTTTTTTCCAGAGCTTTTAGGTGTGCTGTTAAGTCTCCAATATATGCTTTCTCCGTTTTCTTTAATTGGGCACTTAGTGCTATGAACTTTCCTCTTAGAACTGCTTTCATTGTGTCCCATAGGTTTGAGTATGTTGTGTCTTTATTTTCATTAAATTCAAGGAAGACTTTAATTTCTTTCTTTATTTCTTCCTTGACCCAAGGATGATTCAGTAGTTGACTGTTCAACTTCCACGTGTTTGTAGGCTTTCTGGTATTCGAATTGTTATTGAATTCTAACTTTATTCCGTGGTGATCCGACAAGACACAGGTGATTACTAATACTTTTTTGTATTTGTGTAAGTTTGCTTTGTTACCGAGTATGTGGTCAATTTTCGAGAAGGTTCCATGAGCTGCAGAGAAGAAGGTATATTCTTTCCTTTTTGGGTAGAATGTTCTATAGACATCTGTTAAGTCCATTTGATTCATTACCTCTAGCAATTCTCTTATTTCTCTGTTGAGTTTCTGTTTGATTGATCTGTCCATTGGTGAGAGAGGAGTGTTGAAGTCTCCTACTATTAATGTGTGTGGTTTGATGACTGCCTTGAGTTCTAAAAGTTTTTCTTTTACATAAGTGGGTGCTTTTATATTAGGGGCGTAGATGTTCAGGATTGAGACTTCCTCCTGATTAATTGTTCCTGTTATGACTATGAAATGTCCATCTCCATCTCTTCTGATTGATTTTAGTTTGAAGTCAATTTTGTTAGATATTAGAATGGCCACACTAGCTTGTTTCTTAGGTCCGTTTGCTTGGAAAACCTTTTCCCACCCCTTTACTCTGAGTAGATGTCTATCTTTGTGGTTGAGGTATGTTTCTTGTAAACAGCAGAATGATGGATCCTGTTTTCTTATCCAGTCTCTAAGTCTGTGCCTTTTTATAGGTGAGTTGAGTCCATTAATATTAAGTGATATTAATGACCAGTGGTTGTTGATTCCATTTATTATTTTTGTGTGTGTGTGTGTGTGTGTGTAGTAGAGTTTGTGTGTTTCTCTTCTTTGAGTTGTGGTTGTGAAGGGTCGCTAGTTGTCTGGGTTATTGTAGGCAGTGATGGCAATGTTGGATTCCTTGGGTTGCGATTTTTCTTCTATTACTTTCTGTAGGGATGGATTTGTGGCTACGAATTGTTTAAATTTATTTTTATCCTGGAATATTTTTTTTCTCCGTTGATAGTGAATGATAGCTTGGCTGGGTATAGTAATCTGGGTTTGCATCCATGGTCTCTTAGTTTCTGCAGTACCTCAATCCAGGATCTTCTGGCTTTCATGGTTTCCATAGAGAAGTCTGGTGTAAGCCTGATAGGTTTACCTTTATAAGTCACTTGACCTTTTTCCTTTACAGCTCTTAATATTCTTTCTTTAATCTGAATGTTTTGTGTTTTGATTATTATATGGCGAGGGGACTTTTTTTTTTATCCAGTCTTTTCGGCGTTCTGTATGCTTCTTGAACCTTCATAGGAATATCGTTCTTTAGATTGGGAAAGTTTTCTTCTATAATTTTGTTGAATATATTTTCTGGGCCTTTGATCTGCAGTTCTTCTCCTTCTTCAATCCCTATTATTCTTAGATTTGGTTTTTTTATTGTGTCCCAGATTTCCTAAATGTTTTGTGAATAGAATTTGTTGGATTTGCCATTTTCTTTGACCAGAGCATTTATTTTCTCTATGGTATCTTCAGAATCTGAGATTCGTTCTTCTATCTCTTGTATTCTATTGGTTATGCTTGATTCTGTGGTCTCCGTTCGTTTACCTAGGTTTTCCATATCCAGCCGGTTCTCGTTTTGTGTTTTCTTCGTTGCCTCCATTTCAGTTTTCAATTCTTGCACTGTTTCCTTTACTTGTTTTATCGTTTTTTCTTGGTTTCTCAGGGTATCATTCACGGATTTACTTATTTCTTCAAACTTTTTGTTATATTTCTCATCCATTTCTATGCTCATTTCTTCAAACTTTTTGTTATACTTCTCATCCAATTCTTTAAGGGAGTTATTCATATCCTTAGACTAAGATCTTGTATCAATAAAACTGAGGTAAAGGTAAATGCAGCCTCTTAATAGCTTGGTAGGATAGACTAGGGGCCACTTGGTTTCACTCTCCTAAGTCAACTGTTAGAGAACTCAGGGTGTGCAAATGACCTGTATCCTCCTTCTCAGTGCCTGTTCTTTGAGCTGCATCTAATTACAAGGCTTCTTCCTCTCTTGGTTGGATGTCCTGCCATAAAAGATAATTGTGGGAAACTAATTTCTAAGTTTATAACAGGGAATGGGTATAGAGTTAACTGTGAAAACAAAGATTTCTAGACTGTGTGAATACTGTTACACCAGGACCCCATGGTATGAATGAATGTCATCCAGTATAGCCATACACGAGGGAGTTATGCCCAATAACTGATTAACACATTGCTGTTTTTATTCCTTGGGACATGTCCCAATATGTAAAAGGGAGTGCTATGACTTCACAGGGGTTTTACAGAAATGATAGTGACTATTCAAAAGTCAAATATTCCCAGTGCCTTTCAATTTAGGTGTCCTCCATTGAAATGTGTGGTCCTTGTGGGTCAGCCTAGTGATTTTCTCAGTTGTATTCTCACTGTTTAATCCCATGGACCACAGCACACACTATATTTGAAAAAAGTCACTGCAGAAGTGATTTTTTTTTCCTGTGGGTGAGAAGTGAGGAACAAGAAAAATTTGTATCTTCAATTATGTTTTAACATTGTGAAGGAATTCTAAGGGTCACTTTATTTCTTCATCTTTAGGTAGAACACTTTTTATTGTCTAGTTTACTTACAAAATGCCGTTTTCATAATAAATTATTTTATTACCTGTAAGCCTTTAAAGCACACAAACATACAAACAAGCAAAAACTAATTCCTATAACTTATAATTGTTAGGAAAAAGAGAATAAAAAGTCAGAATTTACCATGGAAAACCTGGTCATCACCATATTGGATCTTTTTGGTGCGGGCACAGAGACAACAAGTTCCACAATGAAATATGGGCTTTTACTCCTGCTGAAGCACCCAGAGGTCACAGGTATGATCATGGATGGGCAGATGAATGTCCAGGTAGAAATGGGCAGATAGCACTAGCAACTGTCTCACTATTTCCTAGAATGGACACTGTATTAGCAATATTTGCATAATTAGTGCATTTACCTCCCACTGAATGAATTTAATTCAACTAGGCCATAATAAATAATAAAATAAAATATTTAAGCTACAGCAGGGAATGGGAGGGTAGTGACCACTATTCTCCCTGCTATGATTCAGAATCCTTGATTTGGGTTGGAACAAATACACAGCAGCTTCCTTAGCATTCAATAGAACTAGCCTCTCCTCACAATTTCCCTACATCATAACAAATAGTTTTTTTCCCAAAAGTACATATCATTTAAACTTTTCTTAGAATATATTAATTATAGAAAATGATGTGTTTCATTACATTTGTAATTATTTGATTATATCCCACTGATTTTTCTCTTTCTCCACTTCTCTTCAGTAATCCCATTCCTTTTCCCAACTAGTCTTGGGTTTACTTTCATGCCTGACTGTTTCCTTTTTCAATAAACCAATTAGGTTTATTAACCCGATCATTGGTGAGATGTTATTTACTAGATTATCAACAATTGACCAATAGCTACACTACTCAAGAGAATCTTTCTTTATATTCCAGGAAATATCACCTCCCCATAGACCCTCAGGAAGGTTTTAGGTCTTGCAAACCTTTCCCCTCTGAAGGTGGGAAGGTTGACGGGACCACTCTTGTATAGACGTTTTGTGGGTTATCATAGCTGTTGACAGTTCAAGAATGAAATGGCCATGTGTCATAGAGTTTCTATTGCTGTGAAAAGACATCATGACCACTGCAACTCTCATAAAGGAAAGCATTTAACTGGGGCTGGCTTATAGTTCTGCAGATTAGTTCATTATCATCATTGTGGAAAATATGGTGGCATACAGGCAGACATGGTACTGGAGAGGTTTCTGAGATCTACATCTGGATGTCAGGCAACAGCACTGAAATAATGATCCACTGAGCCTGGCTTGAGTTTCTGAGTCTTCCAAGTCCACCCACTGTGGCAAACGTTCCCCAATAAGACCATACCTACTTCAACAAGGCTACACCTCCAGTAATGACACTCCTTATGAGTCTGTGAGAGCCATTTTCATACAAATCATTGTACCATACTTTATAAAATGTTTACAAGTTACTTGTGCTTCATTTTTCAGAACTCTTTTCAGAACTATAGCCTATGTTTTGATTTTATTATCAGCTTTATGTTTAGAGTTTCATGTTTATTGTGTATTCTAGATATCTATCTTGCATCAGATGTGTAGGTGAAAGGGATTTTCTCTCTTTTTCCTTTTTCTTTTTTTATTGATTTTTATTGAGCTCTACATTTTTCTCTGCTCCCCTCCCTGCCTCTCCCCTCCTCCCTTCAGCCCTCCCCCAAGGTCCCCATGCTCTCAATTTACTCAGGAGATCTTGTCTTTTTCTACTTCTCATGTAGATTAGATCTATGTAAGTCTCTCTTGGTGTCCTCATTGTTGTCTAAATTCTCTGGGGTTGTGGTTTGTAGGCTGGTTTTCTTTGCTTTATGTTTAAAAGTCACCTATGAGTGAGTACATGTGATAATTGTCTTTCTGTGTTTGCGTTACCTCACTCAAAATAATGTTTTCTAGCTCCATCCATTTTCCTGCAAATTTCAAGATGTCGTTATTTTTTTCTGATGTGTAGTACTCCATTGTGTAAATGTACTACATTTTCCTTATCCATTCTTCGGTCGAGGGGCTTTTAGGTTGTTTTCAGGTTCTGGCTATGACAAACAATGCTTCAATGAACATAGTTGAGCACATATCTTTGTGGCACGATCGAGCATCCTTTGGATATATACCCAAAAGTGGTATTGCTGGGTTTTGAGGAAGGTTGTTTCCTAATTTTCTGAGAAATTGCCACACTGACATCTAAAGGGGTTGTATCAGCTTGCATTCCCACCGGCAATGCAGAAATGTTTCCTTTTCCCTACAACCTCTCTAGCATAAATAGTCATCAGTGTTTTTGGTCTTGGGCATTCTTACAGGTGTAAGATGGAATTTCAGAATTGTTTTGATTTGCATTTCTCTGATGACTAAGAATGCTGAATATTTTCTTAAGTGTCTTTCAGCCATTTTAGATTTCTCTGTTGAGAGTTCTCTGTTAGGGTCCATTCTTCATTTTTTTTTATTGGATTATGTATTCTTTTCATTACCAATTTCTTGAGTTCTTTGTATATTTTGGAGATCAGATCTACCCGGATATTAATTCACATACCTTCGAACACTTGATATTTGTCAAAAAAGTAAAAAAATATCAAATGGAAAAAAGAAGGCATATTTAACAAAAGGTGCTGGCATAACTGAATATCAACATGTAGAAGAAGAAAATAGACCCTTATCTTTCACCATGCACAAAACTCAATTCCAAATGGATCAAAGACCTCAACATAAAGCCAGTCACACTGAAACTTACAGAAGAGAAAGTGGGAAGTACACTTGAACTCATTGGCACAGGAGACTACTTCCTAAATACAACCCCAGAAGCACAGACACTGAGAGACACAATTAATAAATGGGACCTCCTGAAACTGAAAAGCTGTAAAGCAAAGGATACTGTCAACAAGACAAAATGACAGCCTACAGAATGGGAAAAGATCTTCACTAATCTCACATCAGACAGATTTTCTCTTATCCTGTCAACTTCTTCTTCATTTGATTGACCACTTCCTTTGCTATAAAGATATCTTTTGGTTTTATGATGTTCTTATCAATTGCTAACTTTATTCCATTAGCAACCAGAGTCCTACTTACTAAGTTATTTGTTCCCTCACTGTAGCCTTACCCAAGCCTCTTTTCTTCCCTCATGCTCATGTGTTCTTTTTACCTATATTCCATTTTCTTCCTCTCCTAATAATATCCCTGTTTTGTTTTCACATGTTACAACTTATTTACGTGCATACACATAGACACAATAGGTTAGGGTCCCCCTGTGAGGGAGAACATGCAGTTTCTCGTTCCTGAGTTTAGTCTATCTCAATATTATATTCTCCTTATGCATTTATTTTACTATAATTTTATGTTGTCATTTTTTACAGCTGAAAACTTCCATTCTGTATATGGACACATTTTCACCATCCATTTATTGGTTGATGGTCATCTAGGCTGGCTCCATCTTTTTGTTATCAATAAACAAGGATGTATAAATGTGTATGTGGTAACATATGGGGTTCTTGGGTATATGTTCAGGAGTATTCATGTGATACATCTCTCTTTAGCTTATTGAGGAACTGCCATAATATTTTCCATAGTGGCTGTACTAATTTGCACTCCCATCAGCAACACCAAGGGTCCCTTTCCCCACACTCACAGCTGCATCCGTTGTCCGATTCCTTAATGATAGCCATTCTGACTGGGGTAAGATGTTTCCTCAGAGCAATTTTAATTTTAATTTTCCTGGTAACTATTAATGTTGATCAACTAAACAAATACTTTTTGCCGGTTGTGTTTCTTCTCATGAGAACTTTATATTTTTCATTTCATCTGTCCTCTTGGTGATTGACAGAATTTTGTGTGTGTGTTTAATATTTACAGTTCTTTATAATTTCTGAATTTCTGAGTATTGGTCTGAAAGTCAGCTAGCTTTGAGTTTTTCCTATTCTATGAATTCCGTGTATACTCTCCTGTTAGTTTTTTAAATTTTTTTTATGTTATGAAGAATGTTTTGATTTCATTTGGTTCCATCTGTTAATTCTTGAGGCCAATGCCCTGCTCTCAGAACTCTGTTTGTAGAGTTCTTTCCTATACCTATTTCTTTAAGTTTATCTTTGATGTTTTCCCTTGAAGTTTCAAAATTTCAGGCTTTAATTAAAGGCTTTGATCTACATTGAATTGATTTTTGCATAGTGTGAAAGATATGAATGTAATTTCATTCTTCTGTATATAGGTATCCTGTTTAACCAACATTTATTGGAAAGACTGTCTTATTTTCCCCATAGCATGTTTTTGCATATTTTTGTGTGTGTGAGTGTATGTGAGTGTGTGTGTGTGTATGAGGCTAATGTGAATGTGTTTATTTTGCTAATTTCTCAGTATGTTTGTTACTGTTATATGGGAAAGATATTGATTTTATACTTTAACTTTATATTCTGATGCTTTACTGAAAATGTTTATAGTATTTAAGCATTTTATATTATATACACCAGTGTCTCATACTTAGAATCTTGTTATTTGTGTATTAGGTTTTCTATTCTTGTAAAAATGGTGGAATTTGTTTTCCTCAACTCCCAACTTCCTACTACAACTTGAAAATGATCAAGAATTATATAAAAGATAATTATTTTCCATTTTATAAAACTATTATTTCTGCCCTGGAAGCTAAAATTCAGGAAGAAATTGCACGTGTGATTGGCAGACATCGGAGCCCCAGCATGCAGGACAGGAACCACATGCCCTACACAGATGCTGTGTTGCATGAGATCCAGAGATACATCGATTTTGTTCCCATTCCCTTGTCTCGTAAAACAACACAGGATGTGGAATTCAGAGGATACCACATTCCCAAGGTGAGATCTATTTCATCTGTGTTTCTCACCATGCATCTTTCCCTGTCAACAATTAAGTAATGTGATTACAGAAAATCTGACCTTTCACAAAAATGCCAGAATCATACACCAGTCATCTCAGCCTCCTCATGATTTTCTCTTTTGTTTGTTGATATGGGTTTCTTACATGATTGGGTTCTCACAAGCTTTTCAGTCCATTGATATGTTCTGCTTCCTGTCAGTTAAGTCAATCTGCTGTCCACATTATTGCTTTTCAATGGGTTTTACTATTCTTGTCATAATTCTATATTCTCTCCTCCCTCCATGCTTTCCGTTTGACTTACTTAGAAGAAACCCAGTCAAACAATGTTTTTACTTTTGCTTGTTTTAGTGGAACTTGTCTATGTAGTTCAGTAAATTGGTATCATACCAAGCACATTGGTATTGTTTTTATATACATAATTTTTTGAGACCATTTTATTCTATACTTAAAAATAACCTCTTGAGCACTGGCATTTGCAGGGTTAAGCCACCATTTTCTACTTAGCTTTAAACAGCACTGAGTGTTTTCTTTATCAATAAATTCATTTTATTTCCATTAATTCACAAATTAGAAATATCATATAGCTCGTTTAAGAAATCCATTCAAACATATGTCCTGTCCTCACACTTGCTTGGCAATTACCTTCTCCACTGTGCCATCTCTCTGATCTCTATATTTTAAATATTATTGGTTATTGATTATTATTAGTTAGTATTAAGTTTTCTAAAGATAAGGACATAATTTCCCTCTATTTGGGATTGTTTTTTTTATTAACTAGAAGTATCAGTGTATGTTTTGAATAACTCATTACAGCTTTTAATGTTTGGCCCAAATAAGCTTAGTTCATGAAGTCTCCAAATACATTATTGATCTCATCTTCAAAATTTAGGGCTCTCCTACTCTGGCCTTTTTGTTTCTGGATTGTTTTTCGCAGTTCCACTCTTAGCACATGTGTGTGTGTGTATATTTAGAATGTGGACAGTCGTGTGCAATGTCTCACCCGATTCCCCTTTTACATATCTCTAAGTTCACTAATGCCTTTAATTTCTGTCTTCTCATGTTTTCAATTTTATCTAGGAAATTTTCAAACATGCTCATCCTAATTCTAGAATTTATGTCTTTATAGTTTCTATTTACAGTATTTGATACTTTGTAATACTTGGGTATACTAATGACAATTCCTTTCCGTTGGAAATGTAGTGCCTCCTATATTCTTTTACAATTATTCTTTCTAGTTCTCAAATATAATCATAACAGCTGTATTTCAAAGTTTTGTATGACCACTCTAAATTTAGGCAATCATACTGATATGTATGTAGTACGAGGCTGCTTGTTTGTTCCCAACTGCTCAGCCCTGAAATAATTGCACAGAAATCATATTATTTGAAATACTGTTTGGACAATAGCTTAAGTGTATTTCTGGCTAACTAATATCTTAAATTAACCCATCTCCATTAGTCTGTGTATCACAAGGTTATGGCTTACTGGATAAAGTTCAGACGTCTGTCTCAGGCGAGGGTTCCATGGTTTCTCCTGACTCTGTCTTCTTTCTCCCAGCATTCAGTATAGTTTCCACCACCTAGTTCTACTCTGCCCTATCAACAGGCCAAGGCAGTTTCTTTATTCATTAACCAATAAAAGCAACACATATACAAAAGGACCTCCCACACCACTGATAGTTTTTCACTTGCTATGACTTGCATTTCTCTTTTTCCATGCTTAAAAATGGGATGTTCTTAATACTTGCTTGGCTTATGTAAAATTAAAAGCTGTTGAAGAAAATGTCGATGAGATTTTGAAAAAAATGTCTCTCATTTCATTCTAGAGTCAATGACATGAATTTAATTTTTTAAAATTAGAATCAATTCTTTTCTTATAATGTATTTTAATTATGTTTTACCCTCCCTTAACGCCTAACAGATATCTCCACCTCCCTACTCACCTAAATGTATACCCTTTCTTTTACTCTCTCATTTGATAACAAACTCATAAGATAAAACAAAAGTGAAACAAAACAGAACAACTAGAAAAATCCAAACAGTAATAACAAAAATAAACAAACCAGAATATAACAAAACAGAAAAAAGTGCCAAAGAAAAAGCACTTGAATGACATGGATTTGGAGAGACACACACATTCACTTACATAGAAATTACTTAAAAACAAAATTAGAAACCATAGTATATAAGCCAAAGACCTGAAAGTAGAAAAAAAAAAAGGAAAATTCCCAGAGAAAGTGTCAAGAAATAACAACAGAAATCTTCTATAAACATTTGACGTCTTTTTGTATTGGGCATCTACTGCTTGACACTGGTCCTGCCTGAAGTGTGGTTTGTTTCCCTACTGAGACTATTGGAGAAAACTGATTTTTCCTAAGTTGGTTTTTGTTGATTTGAGATAGTTTCTAGGTTACGGAATGGGGCTTATGTCTATTTAGCTTCTCAATGCTGAGAATTCATTTGTCTTAGACCTGTTAAGGTACTGTCCATGCTCCTGTGGTCTCTGTGACTTCATATAACATGCCAGCCCTGTTGTGTCTAGAAGGCCTTGTTTCCTTCGTGTCCTCCATCACTGCTGACTTTTACAATCTTTATATCCCCTCTTTCACCATGTTGAGATGAAATTTCAATGGCGTTGCCCTGTGGGATGACACTATTGAATGTGTATCAAGACCGACACACTCCAGGGAGCTTCTTTAATTCTGTAAGATCCTGGCATCAGAGCACAAAATCGTGATGGTGACTGAGATCAACGCACAGAGATCCTGAATGAGAATTATAGGATATAAAACCCATTAGATCTGGTTTTGATGTGTTTACATGGAACAGATGACATTTCTTTCTTTCTTCTTCCTCTCCCTCTTTTTTTTTTTGCTTCAATCTGGTCATCCACAAAACAAAGAGATAGAATGAGAGACATATTTATTTTTTTCAGGTTTCATGACCTCCTTCATAAATGGTTTTGGTTCACTTTCCTTCAGGGCACAAGTGTCATGACATGTCTGACTTCTGTCCTACATGATGACAAAGAATTTCCCCACCCGGAGAAGTTTGACCCTGGTCACTTTCTGGATGAGAGAGGCAACTTCAAGAAGAGTGACTACTTCATGGCTTTCTCAGCAGGCAAGCGAGCTTTGTTTCTCTGTGTGTGAGAATGTGAGAAGAGGTGTGCATGGAGGCTCCTGTGGGGGGCATGAAGAGCCATCTGCATGAGGCCAGAGGCAGCAACCCCAAGATGAAGGCTACTTCTCATTGGATTAGAGGCTTCACCCATTGTTCCTACTTTCTGACAGAAGCTGAGCTTCCCAAGAGCTCTTTCTGAAAGAAATCCTATTCTTCTGAGGCATTTCTCTCTGCCCAGAGGAGTCAGGCCACTGTGAACCCATGGAACACTTTACATGTAGCAACTGAGTGCTCAGATCCAGGGTCACAGTGTGTGGTGTGTGAAAGAAACAAAGAGGATAAATGAAGAGGAAAAGACAGTACCCTGTGAAAACCAGTGCTTTTCTCAAGTCCTCCAGGGAGAGTAATTTTAAAGGACACCAGGCTGAATGGTCAGACTGCAGAAGTTGCTCACAGGAAGTACCATTTAAGTGCCTTCCTTCAATTTGAAAGGGTCTAAAAAAAAGAAAAATTGATTCACTCTAATGTATGGTTAAAATGGTGATTAAAGTGATTAAAAAGGAAGAGACTGTTCCCTTGGGAACAGAGGAAGTGACAAATTCCTCAAGTCTGACACAAGCAGGTAGACTGCAATGGACTAGGAACCAGATGGGACTGGAACCTGTCTTGCTGAGACAGAATTTCCTCCATTGGAAATTCATGTTTCAGGAGAGTCAGCGCTATTACATAGAGACATTGTCTCAGAAAAAAAGAATAATTAAAATAGTCATGGGTTTGAGAGAGGGTGGGGTATAGCACAGAAAAATTTCAAGTGGGGAGAGGGAGAGTTAAAAATGATATTATTATTAATATACAAAAAATAAGAATGTAAAATACCCCCCCAACGGTTGAAAAGAAATTTGTCCTGAGGAATGAAAGAACAGGAAGGAAATCAGGACAGTACAAAAATAGCCAGTTGTCAGGTAATTAATCTGGGTTAATTAGTCATTCATTAATAGCTATTCTATGTGTGTTAACTCAGAATTAAGTGACTTAGCAGTTGCAATGTCTTTTTTTAGGAAGAAGAGCTTGTATTGGAGAAGGTCTGGCCCGCATGGAGATGTTTTTAATCCTGACTAGTATTTTACAGCATTTTACTTTAAAACCTCTCGTCAGTCCAGAGGACATCGACACCACCCCAGTTCAAACGGGCTTATTGTCTTTGCCTCCGTCTTATGAACTCTCTTTCATTCCAATCTGAAGTGGGTGGTCTTCCCCATAGATAACCTGAGACCCTGCCTTTACTTGTCATCAAACAGGTTTTTTTGTGTCTTATGTACCTGCATCATGAACTATCCTAAAATTTCCTCAAGTCTTTATGGACCAGTTCCAATTTCCACATATGACAAAAGTCTCACTATTTCAACACTAATAAAAATTTTGCTGTAGTGTGTGTCAGATCATTAGTTACATGTTCATTTTAGAATATTCCAGATGGAAAGTTCATTATCCAGTCATGCCTTGTTTTAGTAAGAGTTAGTAAGCAGACTTATTCTGGGATTTTCAAGAAAACTAATCAACAATGGAACTGAACCATCTTTCATTCCTGTGTCATTATCTAGGAGAATATCTCTTGACAGTGTGTCAAGTATACATTTTGTCTTTTCCCATAAATTTTAAAAGTATGATTATTTGTATATATATTCATAAGTGACATACATGTTTATGTGTACAAATGCACAGGTAGATGCGTGTGTTCAGGGAGATAACAATGGAAGATCATGTCTACCAAGGGGAATAACATGAGGAAAAACTTGAATTTTCCAGTTTCCAAGGATACCCTTTCCATATCTTCTTCCAGAGCTACCTCTACACAGTCCACATATTATACCATATCACCTCATCTACACTAACAGAAATATCTGCATATGTGGATTTATAGTTAGCTATGATTTGAAAGTGATATTTATATAACAACATATCATAGACCTTTTTATAAACACTTAAACAGAACTTATAATTCTTACTATTTGACTGTTACATAACTTTCAAACTTATTTCATATTTAAATACATATGCCTTTTTAATGATTTTTAGATCAGCTTTGAAATATTACCTTCTTACATTACTATATCCACACATTTTTAATGACCTCATACTGTTTCTCTAAGTGGCTTGCTAGCTGTGCAATGGCCACTCATCAGTATATATAAACTGTTACATGTGCATGTACACACATCCTCCTCCTCATAATCCCTATATACCTTCACCCCCACACCATTGCTTTTGCATATTTATCAATGATAAATGCTATAAATCCTTGGAAAGACAAAGAAAACAGTGTAATTGGGAAACTCTTTTAGGGAAGCCTAATTTTTTATCTAAATTGAGTCATGAAATGACTAATAATTTGAAATCAGGAGCTGAGAAGCTGAAAAGATTATTGTAAAATGTCATTTTGGAGTGTTAAGACAGAAATAATGTTTATCAATGTGGTAGTTTGAATGTAATTAGCCCCCATAATCTCATGGGGATTAGGAGTTATGGCTTTGTAGTTGTATGGCCCTATAGAAGGACGTGTGTCACTGCTCGGATGGGCTTTGAAGTTTCTTATGCTCAGGATACTACCTAGTGTCAGTTGTCATCCTGTTGCCTACAAGATGTAAGATTCTTACATCTTTTCCCATGTAATATACATGGGAAATAGAAAAAGAGAAGATCTCCTGAGTAAATTCAGAGTATGGGGACCTTGTGAGAGGGTTGAAGGGGAAGGGAGAGGTAGGGAGGAGAGCAGAGAAAAATGTAAAGGTCAATAAAAAAAGTGTTTTTTGGTGTCCATCAACCTTTTGATGTTGCCAGGAGCAGATATGTCTCACTGTCAAGAAAAGTCTAAAACATTTTATTGTCATATTTGTAGGTCTTTGAACTATTTGAAGATTACTTATTCATCTGAAATATATTTCTGCATATCTAGAAAACGTAACTAGCAACTAATAAGATTGACCATTTTAAACGACTGTAATATGAATAATAAAAATCCAGAGTCAGATATCAGGGTTCACCTTAAAACCATAAAAACAAAGCAGCCAATACACTAGAGAATTTTTACCTCTACAAAGACTGATTAATCACAGACTAAGCAGACTAAACAAACTAAGCAGCCAGAGCTTTTTTCTTTTTCCATTTTTATATTTCTTCTAGTGCTGGGATTAAAGCTGTATAACCCCCTAGCACTGTAATTAAAGTTAGGAGACACCACCTCCTGTATTTACTTCTGCATTGGTCGTGTGTAGCCCAGGGTGGGATTGAATTCACAGAAATTCATTTGCTTCTGTCTCCCAAATCCTGGGATTAAAGGTGTGTACCACCACTACCTGACTTCTAGTGACTAAGATTTGCACTTTAGATTTTTAGGCAAGCTTTATTTATTAAAACATAAATAAAATATTACTATATTTCTTCTTTTTTGTCTAAAATAAAAAAGGCTATAAGCCAGGAAATGGACAAGCAGCCTCCCTACTACAAATTGGCTCTCTAATGTGGGTAACTACATCCACATAAAAACCCAAGGAAGCTTTAAAAAGGAGTTCTAGACACAAAAGAACAGAGTTAAGCATGGCTTTTGGCAGCCACAAATCTTTTTCTAGATGGGCTTGCAGTGAGCAGGGATGCTGTGACTACTTTAAGAGAAGTGCAATAAAAACTGGGCAGCTTCCAGGTTCACCAGCACAAATGGCTCTAACTCCTTCTACGGAGGTCCAGCTATGGAGCATTTAAATAGGTCTGTGAACAGCATGTTACAAACTGCTTAATGCCTCAACATAGACTCGCTGCATCCTTGGAACTGGGCTGCTGTGTGCAGCTCTCAGAGGCATTAAACATGCTTTCTCCATGTTGGACTGGGGGGAGCCAACAGGCAGGGCCTTGCCTGTTGGCCCTAGCCATGCTTACTTAGCAAAAAAAAAAAAAAAAAAAAAGAAGATGCTGCTTCTGGTCAGGATACACAATAAAGACAGATTCAGATAAAAAAAAAAGGTCTCTAAATGGGTCACAGTGTTGGATAAATGTATGTAGGCTCGGGAGAGAGAGAAAAAAGAGTATAGTTATAAAAAGTTTAAATGGCTTTTAAGAATAAAAAAGTCTTTAAAGAGACAGAGTATAGACAGCCATAGATGAAAAGGAGTAAGTAAAAAAATAAGAAGCCATATAAAGATAGGAAATATACAGATGTTGCATGGAGGCTGTTTGTTCTTCCCAGCTGCCTGGCTTAGAGCCAAAATAATCACACAGAAACTATATTAATTGAATCACTGCTTGGTCCATTACCTCTAGCGTCTTATTGGTTAACTCTTACACATTAATTTAACCCTTTTCTATTAATCTGTGTATCACCATGAGGTTTTGGCCTACTAGCAAAGTTTCAGCTTGACTGTCTCTGGAGGCTCCATGGCTTCTTTCTCTGACTCCTCCCTTCTTCCTCCCAGCATTCATTTTAGTTTTCCCTGCCTACCTAAGTTCTGCCCTATCAACAGGCCAAGGAAGTTTCTTTATTCATTAACCAATAAAAGCAACACATAGACAGAAGGACCTCCCATATCACACAGAGAGTCTGATTATGTGTATTATTGTGTTTTCTTTAAATTTTTTGACTGTGAAGGAGCCAAGTACAGAGAGACATTTCAATGTATGGGTTGCTAACCTAAATTAACCTATATATTGTAAACGTATCTTGATCCCAATATTTGGATGTAAGGATTTGTTGCTTTGGAAAAGAGGTTCTGTTTTTGTTTCCACAGAAGATAAGAATCTGCGGATTAATTCCAGACTAATGTGGTTTGATGTACCAAAATCCCCAAAAGGTCGTCATGAACACCCCTCCCTCCCAAACACTTCTTCCAATAAACAGCAGAAAGTAGTTTGGAGAGAACTATGCCCAAATTCCCAAATATAGTTTATAAATGTTTGTTTAAATTTAAAGGGGAATATACTATAGATAATTGCATTGTTATGGATCTTAGTTTATTAACACAAATTTAAGGTCAATTTTGTTATATGTATATTTCTGCTCTTGATTAAGGTATTGTGTTTGTGCAGCTCATTTAAAAATGTAATGTTTAATTAAGAAATATAGTTTAATTGATAATCATTTATAATTGTTAAACTTGTAGTCATGTTAGTTAGGTTTTCTAGATGTACACAGATGTATTTCAGATGAATAGGCATTCTTCAAACCTTTCAAAGACTATAGAATATAGCATTTAAAATGTTTCTAGAGCTTAGGACTTTTCATGACAATGAGACACGTCTGCTCCTGACAGTACCAAGCCACTTTAAGAGGAAGAAGGCAGAGTCAGAGAGAAGCTATGGAGCTGCCACAGGAGACAGATCTGCCAGAACTTTGCTGGTAGGCCATGACTTCATGGTGATGCACAGATTAACAGAGATGGGTTAAATTAAGATGTAAGAGTTAGCAAATAGAAGCTAGGGATAATGGGCCAAGCAGTGATTTAAATAATATATTTTTTGTGTGATTATTTCTGGAGTCTGGAAGGCTGGGAAATGAACAAGCAGCCTTCCTACTACAAGAAAAAGTATATATAGAAGTACAATAACTATATACAATGTGTACAGGCAGTAAGTACATCAACAATGTCTAGTTCACTTGCATTTGACAAATTCAGAGAAAGTATACTATATCTAACCTATCTAGATGAGCCTAAAGACTTGTAATTAATTTACTTTCTATTATAACTTGTTTTCTGCATCTGGTAAACAAGGAAAACTATAATTATATAGTCTTCAACTCCCAAAGAGACTCAAGAAGTAAATAATATTAACTGAGTAAGCAGGATGTCCAAGTAAGTATTTTCCAAAAATGTGAGTAATGACTGAAACAACTGACTTTCTAGACAGTCATCTAAATTTCCTCTGCAATGTTGGAGCATCTATCTTCAGTCTACAGGGCTAGGATATTCAACAGAATTTTCTGTGAAGCAGGATATTTTGAAAAGTTGTTCCTCTTTGTCTGGCAATGTTTGACGGTCACTTTCTTTTGTGTCCTGCTTGTTCAATTAGGACAGCCTAGTGTCACCAGTTGAGGCAAGATTATTTCCTTGCCCCATGGTTTACTTTTTTTTTTTTACAAAGAAAGTAAATTCCATATAAAGTTCCTTCAATGCCCATTATCTTCTCTGAAGTATATTGGTGCTGCCAGGAACAGACATGTCTCATTGTCATAAAAAAGAAGAACCTATGTTATTAAAATGTCTTAAATGCTATATTCTGTAGATGTCTGAAGTGTTTGAAGATTACCTGTCTATCTAAAGTATATCTTTGTTAGACTTTGAAAACATCCCTAATGTGACAGAAATTTGATTATATGAGATGATTAAATACTAACCTGTATTTCCTTATTATCCTAAACAGTTGGTAATAGTAATTTTCAGGACTAGAAATTT